TGTTGTGTTTTGTTGTGAGCGGAATGGATGAAATGTGTAGATTCTCGTGTGTCTTTTCTATTTCGTCGAAAGCAGGGTCAGAAACAGGGCGCTCGCAATGCCCCGCGCGCACATGCGTCTCGCCCTGCCATGCGTCTCGCGCATCGACATGGCTCTCGCCTCGCCCGGTCGCCCGGGGTGCATATCGCGTATGATAAAAGACTTTATTTACAACCAGGGAGAACCCGGTCGCCCGGTCCCCCGGTCGCCGTCCCCCGGCCCGCCGCCTCCCCGGGCTTTCCCCCGTTTCTACAATGCACGCGAGACAATACGTATCTCCCGGCACCGCTGTGCCTCGCTGCCCTTGCAAATCTCCGCATTCGCTGCCCCACTTCTTCTCCCGCGACCATTTCTCCGCGCGCAATGTCTCTGTGTCGGTTTATTTTCATTTTCATTATCTACAGCACCCTTCAAGGGCCGGCCCACGCTACGGTATACGGTACCCAAGGGTATCATGTGATACCGTGCTGTGAAGTTCACAGTCATGTTCATACTGTGAACAGCACGGGCGTCAACGACACACACCGTTGCGCCGACCAACGCACCGACCAACGCACACGTCGGTGACGTCCCCACGTGTCGCATTCGCCGTTTCATGTCGCGCCAACCTTACTGTAAGACAGTGTCAGCCCGCGAAATTGACCGTTGGCGCCTTGCGGCCTGCCGCAAGGACCGCACACGTGGCATACTTATATGGCATGCCTTGTTCGGATACGTTTTGAGAGAGTTGCAATTTGGAGGGAAGGGGCCAGCACGAGGGCTGCGCGCGGGGGGTTGCTGTGGGGGACGCTTTCGGCAGAAAATTTGGCGAAAATATTCGCTGCCTTTCCACCGCCTGCCGCCGTCTGCCGCCGCCTGCCGCCGCCTGCGCCCCCGGTGCCCTGTGCCTCCCGATGTGCCCCGAAGCGACACGCCGTTCAGCACGGGCGCCCTGTCGGCGTCCAATTCCATCGCCCAACGCGCCCGCGTCCCGTCCGTCCAATCCGCAACCGCCCAGCGCGCCAGCCAGCCAGCGCGCCAGCCCCGCCCCCTCCCGGGCGTTCAAGG